TTGGGACTACAACTCCCATCATCCCTAGCTAACAGGACCAGTGGTCAGGGATGATGGGAGTTGTAGTCCCAAAACATCTGGAGGGCCAAGTTTGCCTATGCCTGACCTATCAAGCCCATCACCATGCTCTCAGGGTGCCAAATGCCCACAAGCAGGACCTCTTCACCTTGGGGTTGAGAGTGGAAATGATATGTTATTCTGCCTCGGCCAGCAAAATGTCTTAGGCCAGCCCACTTCCCATTTCCCATAGCGTCCAACCAGAGCCTTCTGGAAAGGCTGCTAGCAGGACTGTCTGCTGCTGCTGCTGCTGCTATTCTCCAGTGAAATCCTGCCTCTGAACTTGGAGTCGACAGAGCCACCATCCATGACTAACACCCATATTCTCCACATGGGGAAAGCTACACCTGTTCCATTTCCGCCTTTCGTGAACCTGTTAACAGCCTAGAAGCCTTGCCCCTCAAAGAGCTGTGAGTTGGATAAATCCAGTTCTTCCTTGTCCCATTCCCAATTCTGAAGCAGCTGTCTTAAACACTTTTGCCACGGTGATTTGGGATAAATACGCTCAGACCAGCCCATTAAATGTGCCGTGATGCCCGTGACTCAGCGTCTTTGGAGCAAAATCCTTCCCAGGGCTGCTCCTCGGGTGGGGCATTTACGCACCATCCCTTGCTCAGAGCTGTACCCAACGACAGGATCTACCCTGTGGTTTTTAATTAAGTAACTGCTAAGATGCAGGCAGCTTCTCATCAGCGTCTCCTCCTCAAGACGGAGCGCCAGCGTGCCAATGATTATAAGCCCCTTAAGGAGAATGTGTTCCCCTTCAGGACTTATAATCATTTTTATAGTGGCGCTTGTAGACTCTTGCACTTTAATGAAACTATAAGTACAATTACTCTGCCTGACAGTGGACAGGGCATCCTGCTTCAAAAGCAGTAGAGCAGGTACACTAAAGCTTCAGGGAAATAATCAGCTTCCTCTCGCTTGTTCCGTGTCTCTTGGAGCACGACCCAAAGTTAAGAATTAGATGTTCGGAAGCAATGCAGAAGTCACACTTACCCCTGTGTTTTAAAGCACAAAATGGAGGAGGGGCATATCCCTATCCTTAACTCTCTTTGCATCCCCTTCTCCCAGCCTGGCAATTCTGCTCCCAGTGAGCTGTGGGGGAAGCCTAACTTTAGGCCTATCGGAAGATTCAAGAGCCCCGCCGCTCCTTCTTCAGGTGTGCTAAGAGCCCATCTGCCTGCCTTGCCACGGGCTGCCCTCTCCCAATTTACATTTGCCATTCAGAAAATTACTCCCAGACGCGGAGTGAACTCCTTGGCACGTCCATCCCAGCCCCGTGTGTAACTGCAGAATGTTGTGTGCTTGGCTAATCTACGTGGCTGGTGAGAACGAATAAGACGTGTTGTTGCCGACATCTGTGGCGATGACAAAACCCATTAAAACGCATGGCGCATTGTGGAGTTTTGTAAGCTGAACGCTTCCTGTGTCAAGGAGTTTTATTGTATTCACTATTCAGCAGAGGGAGAGGCATGGGTAAGAAGGGATGAATGTGCTGGGTTGGGCACCACTGAGGGGTAGAATCAGACTCTGGAGAATTAAAGAGTGCTAATGAACGGCTGCTTTGTGGTCCCAGGTGGGGAGGTGCTGTTCCTCCTTTGTGATGTTGGGCTGTGTGTGTGTGTGTGTGTGTGTGTGGTGTAAGTTGACCACACCCACTTTGCATCATTCATACCCACCACTGGCCTTACGGCCCTCCAAGGGTTGTTCAACAGGTAATGTGGCCCTGGGATCAAAAGGGGTTAGCTGCTCTTGGGTTAAGCCAAAACCTTCATGGTCTGTCATTCTTTTAAAAAAAAACAACTTTGATAAAGAAAACAGAAGACCTATCTTCTCCCAAAGTTAAGTCTGCCTTCCCTTGTTTCATGAGCAAGTACAATGTTCGACTAGGGCCAGTGGGGCATGGATTCAAGTTCCCACTCAGCTTACTGGGTGACCTTTGGGCAAGCCACACTCTCTCTACCTCACAGGGTTGTTGTTGGGATAAAAGGTTAGAGGGGACAGATCATATATGCTGCCTTGAATTCCTTGGAAGAAAGGCGGGATGTAAATGTAACAAAGAAGATTTCAGGCATAGGAAGAGGGACAGTCCAAACTGAGTACATTGATGATGGGGGTGTTGACTCTTTCACTCCTCCACTGCAGTCAAAATGGAAATCCCACCCACCCTCAGCTATTGCCCCAAGAGGAACAAACAACATGCCTCACCTGGAATGTGACACGTGTTAAGGGGTTTCTAATGGTCCCTTAGATAAGGAAACAAGATCCAGGTACCTGGAATTCCTCCTGAAGCAAAGAAGAGAAAAGCTTCATACAGACAGCATACGAAAGTAGCCTGTTATGCTAAGGCAAAGCACAAGGAAATGTATTTGAGCAAGCTCTCATTTAGCTGTCAGGTGCTTTCCACCATTCCTTTCCCATCAATGTTAATTACCAGGGCATTTGCATGTAAAAGAAAGTTGCTGTCCTTCGCAGAAATTCTGCCCCTCCCACCTTATTCATGCAGCAGCACCAGAAGCCAGAAAGTTGTACACGATCTTGCATTTGGCCCCATTGGAGTGTGGAGGTGTGGATTAGGAAAGGTTCGCTGCTGGGCGCAACGAGGTATGCTGGCATCCAGAAAGTCCCCCCCACAAAAATACTTCGGCATGTCACCTTTGTCCAGATTTATATAAAATAAAATAAAAGGCCTAAAACATAATCATCACAGAAAACAATTATGAGACACAGAGGTGCCAGAGACATCAGTAATACAAGCCAAACTTTTTATACAACATAAATTAATAACAAGCCTATAAAAATAAGGACACAATTGCTATGGAAATCCCTTATTCTCCAGTGGGATGAGATGCTTTTCCAGATAACCTTCGTTTATAAAGTTCTGCACACAGTCCTACTTTATTTTATTTACTTTTTTTTATCCACAGCCATTATTCACATAAACAACAAACTCATACCAAACAGAAATAAATTTGTCCTTACTTGTTGGACCTCTAGAGGTTTTCAGTTTATATGTCAATTGTTCTAGTACAGCTGATTCCCATACCTTCATCTAACAGTTTTGCATTTTAATTCCCCCCTTAATTTTAAAATTGTTTAAAAAATTAAAGTAATAAAATACAGAGCATACACACCAAAAATAAAGTTCATTTGTGGAATGGTATAAACATTTTTTTAAACAGCTTTTGAGAGTTTTACAGGAAAAGCAACCCACCCCACCCCACTTCCCATGTATGCAGTTGGTGAGACAGTTAATAACCCATTCCACTGGAAAATAAGGGGAATCCAGTGTCCTTCAGCTGTTAGACTACATCCCCCATCAACCCTGACCACTGCCTGGCTGAAGCTGATGGAGATGGAGTCTAACACCATCTAGAGGGCCACATGGTGTTGATGGTACAGAGCAGGGATGGAAAAACGTGTGGTCCACTAGGTGTTGCCGGACTGCGACTCCCACCATCCCTGGTTCTGGGCTGTTGGGAGTTGGTGTCCAACAACAACATCTGGAGGGCCACAGGTGAGTTGTGCAAGCAGGAGGAACCTGGCTTCGAGTTCAAAGATATATTCCAGTCTCTTCCCACTTGGCGCCTTCCAGACCTTTTGAACTGTGGCGTCCCTCAACCCCAGCCAGAAGGCTGAGCTATAACTTTAAGAAACCAGTGGCAAAATAAATGACACACATGCACACATCCTTGTGCAATGTCCAGTGGGACTTAGTATACTAATCTCCCCCCACTCTTTAATCTTTGCCTCTTGCCTGGAACCTTGCAGCGAAAGGGCAATCCTGAGAGGCAAAGGGACGGGTAATTGCTGTGAAGAATGCAACCTCCCCGACGTGTTGTCGGGAAGATCTTCTCAATGGCTGCTTCCAAAGGTCAAAGAGAACAAGGATACCTGCAGGCCGCAGGAAGGAGACGGAGAACATCCACTTCCCAAGGCTGCTTACTCAGCAGCCGCTGCATTGCAGCTTATTCTGGTCAAGTGGGGGGTGGGGGCAGGATACCATCGAAGCTGAGTTAATAATGCTAAAAGGCAGCGTCAGACTTCCTGCCCCGATAGAGATGTTTTATTTGGTAAGGCAAAAGCCCAGGGCTGATTCACACACATATATATCACATGATGTCACATCACTCGATGACTTGCAGCTGAGTGTGCAAACTGTCTTTGTTGAAGAAACATTGTGGGTAAGGTGAGAGCTGCACTGCTCAGGAATGGCTTCTTTCAGGCACTTGAGGGTGCAGTCGCCAAGTGGTGATAAACAGCCAGATGGCTCTTATTGATGAGGATGAATAATGCTTGCTATTTTCCGCTTTACGTATTATTATCTCAGTGATCCTGGCAGTGTTATACAACAAGCATTAGGAACGGCAGGCCCAACAGCCAGAGGTGGCCCTCCAGAACTCTTCTATCAGGCCCTTCGGCCTCTCTGACCCTTCCCACGCCACACCCCTTGCCACCCCTGAACTAACATCTCCTCAGCTGTTGGCCTGGCTGAAATAATGTGATTGTGGAGGACGGGGAGTGGTGTGTGGCATGACCTCTGACCTTTGCGTGGCTGGAATGTAGCTTCCTGTGGAAGGGGAAGAGTCATGTCCACTGCTCCACACACATCACTGGCATGTGGCTCCCGAAATGTTCCCCACAAGACAAAGTGGTCCTTGAGGTGAGGTGAAAAAGATTTTCCATCCGATATGTAAAAAGGACACTGCATTTTCCTTAAGGGCTTCCTTCTTTCCCAGTTGTAAAAGCATACTGTTTGGAATTGTAGGAAGGAGCATCCTAGGCTAGGAGACCTGGTTTCAAATCCCCGTTCTGCCATGAAATTCACTGTGTGGCATCTAACTGAATAATAAATAAAATACACTCTTGACACCATACATTGTAGATTCAGGTTGGTAGCCGTGTTGGTCTGACACAGTCGAAATAAGTAGCACCTTAGAGACCAACTAAGTTTGTTCTGGGTATAAGCTTTCATATCTGTAGAAGTGTGCATGCACATGAAAGCTTATACCCAGAACAAACTTAGTTGGTCTCTAAGGTGCTATTGGACAATTTTTTAATTTTTTTATTTATTTCGACCATACATTGTGCTTGGGTTGCTAAACCCAGGGTTGTATCTAATGCTAGTCCCACTCAGAGTAGACCTGTTAAAGTTAATAGACATGACTAATGTAGGTTCCTTAATTTCAGTGGGTCTACTCTGAGTGGAACCTAACTGAATGTAAGCTACCTAGTCATGGAATGGTGATGCACATGGAATCAAGGGATATTGCAACAGCCTGTAGCTTTTTGACCTGTCCAAAGAAGCAGTGCTTGTGTGGCAATGAAATACCTGAAGCAGAGTCCAAGTCGTCTCCCATTCCTTCCCCTGCTATGTTCAAAGCATTTGAAGGTTTTGCCCCATGATTTCTGTCATTTTTGTCTTCATCTACCACCACCACCCCAACTGCTACACGCCGGGGTTGCGTGACTACTAGGCATCGGAAGAATGCTCCTCTAGCTCCTCACAAACTCAGTTTTGTAGTGGTGGTTGATGCAATATTACTCTTGTCACTGTCTCTGACCACTTCATAAGGAGACAAACATTCAAATACAAGGACTTCTGAGGCAATTTGATGGAAAGGAGGATAAACTATTCCACTGGAGACTTCTCTGCACAGCTGAAGGACATGGCAGAATAAGCCAGCCAAGGCATACAATGGCTTGCAACTATGAGGTAATTAAATGAGTTTAACAATTAGAATGAAGGTTAATTGAATTATGGAAGTTAAAAGGGAAAGTTAATTATGGAGTGCAAGAAGCAGAATGATCAAAGCAGCTTTTCCCAGGGTTTTGTAAAGTTTTATTACCCTCTGCTTCAGTCGTACCAAAACTTTTCCCTGCTGAAGCTCAAACCGACTGCTTCTTTCTCTAGGGTGGTAGAGACAGGAGGAGGTGGAGCTTCAGAGATATCCCAGGTTCCTCTTCTGAATTTTCAGCTCTGCAGACAGCAAATTAGAAAAGGGGGGGGGGAATCTGTGGCTGTTTGGTGCTAAATGTCTGCATGCAAGTCTCCCCCATGTGGTTAAACCACAACTTTTAAGTCTGGACATCTTCCAAGCATTCTTCATGTGGTTAGACCATGATGAGGGCTATTTAGGGTACAAATGCAAGCCCATGTCAGAATGACCCTTGGGGTCCCTTCCAACACCACAATTCTATGATTCTATGTTCTGAACTGTTCATTAGTATGGTATTTTGTAATGTATGCCATGAGTTTGACCAAACTGCGGGAGGCAGTGGAGGACAGAGGTGCCTGGCGTTCTCTGGTCCATGGGGTCATGAAGAGTCGGACACGACTAAACGACTAAACAACAACAACAATGTATGCCAATCTTTTCGCTCCAGCCTCTGACATCCCCAATGGCCACTTCCCCAAGCTCAAAGAGGTATCTCCCCCTCTTCCTAGGAGCAGAGTGTTGGAAGTGCACACTGAGCCCTGCCTAGTCTTTATAAGCCATGTCCCCATATTTGTCTGCAACCTTGTTTTCATTTTAATTGAAAATTAGAATATCCTAGATAAGCAGTACTGTGGGATTTCCTTTATTAACTAGGGATCCACATATATACACATATATATACATTGATTCTAGGCTACTGCCCATTATGTAGCAGTGTTATTAAAAGTCCAGCATCATATTAGGGAGAAGATCCTACTGGTGTGCCACAAATTTGCTTCAGTTCTTTAAGGGAAGTGCTGATTATTTAGTCATATTGCTTTCTCGAGCTATTTAATCTAAATAGGACTAAAGCAGCCACTTGAGGAGGACCATTATTAATATTTCTGCAATGTTCAAGAAAATGGAAACTGAAACGTGTCTCTCTTCGATTATGGAGCATTTCCTACAGGGCGCCATTTGCAATCTTGCAGCTGCATGGCCAAAGGATCCAGTGGAAGCCCTGCTACAAAGGTGGAATGCAAGACATGCCACCTCCATGATAAATAGGCTTACCACAGATATGCCAGCAGAACACTGTCAGGGCAGCCGTTCTGTCAGTGAAGATATGTAGGTGAAGCAGCCAAAATGGGGTTGAGACATGGTGTGGCAAGGGGATAAAGACAGGGGAGGAATTCAATTCAGTTCACATTTAAAGGCAAACCTAACTAATTTGTACTTTCTGAAACAACCCAACAAGACAAGGCTGACCTTCAAAATCTGCATTTCTCTGAATCTTACAATGCCCCTTTATGTATATAAACAAGTACATATACTGGAGGTAAAGTGTCCATCAAAATTCAAATATTAGTGAAAATAGCATGCAAAAAATGCCTTCTTTTAGGGGAAATTACCTTCTAAAAATATGTATATTACGCAAAATTGCGCAAAAGTATTACAAGAAATGTGCTTTAAAATGTGAGCAAATTTTCATGAGGACGTATAAAAAAATCACACACTGATGTGGCTGAACTTAAGGTTGGAAAAATGAGAAGTTGAGAGGAACTAAAATGGGTAGTTTGCCCACCTCTATACAGGGGAGGAGCACAGCTAAACCCCACACTCCTCCAAACCACAGCCATGTGTCCCCATGAGAAGCAGAACTTCACTGCAGTCCCAGATCCCACACAAAGCATTTGCCTCCCATTGACCAGCATATTTGCTAGGCCTGCTTTAACAGGCAGTGTCAGGGAGCTTGCTTGGCTGGGCACCTCTAGCTGGTGCCTGTTTTCTCTGTGTTCCTTGCATGCTGCTGAAATGCCAAACACAACCCTGACTCAACTTGCACTGGTTGGCTATCTCCATATGGATAATTTGGGCATTATCACCAGCACAATCCCTGATGGTGGGGGGCTCATAGTATTTCCAGGGTTGCTGGGGGATATATCTGCTGTTTTAAATGCCATTTTGTAATTCTTCCAGCTGTGTGTTCTCCACTCTCTTCCCAGTCTGAACACACATCGCATAGGATGGCTGGTTGGCCAGTGTAGTGGTGATGGCATGGTTGGTACAGAGAACTGCTTTGCTATATATATATATATATATATATATATATATATATATATAATGCATATATATAAAGCAGAGACATCACCTTGCCAACAAAGGTCCGTATAGTTAAAGCCATGGTTTTCCTGGTAGTGATGTATGGAAGTGAGAGCTGGACCATAAAGAAGGCTGATCGCCAAAGAATGGATGCTTTTGAATTATGGTGCTGGAGGAGACTCTTGAGAGTCCCATGGACTGCAAGAAGATCAAACCTCTCCATTCTTAAGGAAATCAGCCCTGAGTACTCACTGGAAGGACAGATCGTGAAGCTGAGGCTCCAGTACTTTGGCCACCTCATGAGAAGAGAAGACTCCCTGGAAAAGACCCTGATGTTGGGAAAGATTGAGGGCACAAGGAGAAGGGGATGACAGAGGACGAGATGGTTGGATAGTGTCCTCGAAGCTACAAACATGAGTTTGATCAAACTGCGGGAGGCAGTGGAGGACAGAAGTGCCTGGCGTGCTCTGGTCCATGGGGTCACGAAGAGTCGGACACGACTAAACGACTAAACAACAACAATATAATGCATTTAATTTGCAGTTCTGTGATGGGAATGCGTCGCTGGAATTAGTTACTCCAACATAGGAACATCACAACATAGGAAGCAGCTTTTGTTGCCTTAACTGACTGGCAATGGCTGTCCTGGTTTCGGTTGAGGGACATTCCAACCTCCAACTGCAGATGCCGGGAAATGAATCAGGAACTTTCTGTATGCAAAGCAGATGTTCTACCACTGAGCTGCAGACCTTCCTCCCATAACGGAAAACACTAATGGCTATTCCTATCCAGTTTATCATTCCATTTTTTATTATTAGCGCGAAATCAAGTCAAAAATCTTCATTTTCTGATGCATTCGAATTCTTACATACTCATGCACCCTTAACCAGAAGTGAAGCAACTGCCACAAATATTAATCTTAACCTTGTGACTGCTAAACACTTCCAACAGTTTGTTCTGACATTGCATTGCTACGTCTACGGAGCAAAAGGAAGTCCTTCGAATGCTTCTCGTCTGAGATTGGGGCGGGGGAGGTTGGCTCTGAAACTGTCCTTCTGGCATTTCTTTTCAATTTCTCATGAAGCGAAAGGAATTCACTTCAATATTTGTGTGACTGACAAGCTTTTGTGGAACCTCATGAAACCATTTCGTAAGGATGTTCCCTATTCTGCCTTTCAGGGAACTCAAAACTTTTGGGTCTTCTTTTCCCTTCGAGGAGGTAACCCTGAAAACAGAAGTGTTGTATCTGATTAAGTACAGACACATTCAGTTTCTCAAACACAAAGAGAACCTCCCCTTTTGAGGGGTGACTGTACCTCTGGAATCAGACACATAGGTTTGTATTAGCAAAATAAAAGTACATATCTAGAAGTACGTATAGATATAATTGCATTTCAAAAACAACGCATACTAAGCAATGTTTTGCAAAGATCAGTTTTTGCAGTAATAATAATAATTTTTTATTTATACCCCAGCCACTCTGGGCAGCTTCCAACAGAATATTAAAATACAATAGTTTATTAAACATTAAAAGCTTCCCTAAACTCTAGCTGCAAATATGTTCCTGCTGTGGAATAGACAAATATCAGTTATAAATTGAATTTCAACATGTTGGCACCTGTTTTGAGGAGATGGCCAGGGGGAATCCAGTAACTATACTTTTTCATTAATATTCTTGAGCAGCTTCCCATAATTGCCTTTTTCCTTCAGTAGAAGGAGATGGGCCACCTTGTCTAGTGATGACCGGTTATGGGAATGATTGTCATCATTGCTGGTTGTCAGGGGTTCAGGGAGAGAGGGACAGGGTAGGCAGGAGATGGAGAGCGATGGGGAGGAATTCCAAGCCAGCGAGGAAGAGGATGACAATGACTCAAGAGATTCCATGAGTCTTTCCAGCGAATCAGAGGATTCCCAGAAGGGGGCGCCAGTGGTTAAGGCCAGGGGAGCCCCAGGGGGGACATGTCAGGAGCAGGGGGCCAGCGGAGGATCCCAAAGTGGCAGCTGGGCGTCA